GGAAGGTGGCGGGAGGAGGGGTGGGAGGGTGCTGGCAGGATTGAGGAGTGAGTGGGGCAGGGTAAAAAGGGGAGGAAAGAATTTGGGAGTGCGAGGATAGCTTAAAGAAAGGGGACATGGTGAAGATGGAAGAAGATTATGATAGCGAAGAGGGGTGTTTGCGATCCTGCTCAAGGACGGTGCCCGCGTCGTCTTCTCCTGGTGGATGCGGTTTTGAATCTGGCTTTGGAATGCGTTTTTCCTCGAGGATTACGGATCATCAAGAAGCGTCTAGATCGGATCGAAATGGTGGAGATGTTGTTGCCACTTCATCTGTCGAAGATAGGCCAGGTCGAGGTTTCACAGCACTATCTCCAGGAGGTGAAGGAGGAGGAGTTGGGGGGGGAAGCAATTCACCCTTAAGTGGTCTGAAGCCTTCGTTTGCAGCAGCCGCAGTAGGAGCAGCAGGAGCAGCAGGAGCAGCAGGAGCAGCAGGAGCAGCAGGAGCAGCAGGAGGGGGAGGGAATTCTCCATTTGGTGGCTTGAAGCCTTCGTTTGGAACAGCTGCAGGAGGAGCAGGACCAGCAGCAGTAGCAGCAGTAGGGGTAGGAGTAAGAGGAGAGGGAGGGGGGGGTAATTCTCCATTGAGTGGTCTGAAGTCTTCATTTGGAGCCGCTGCAGCATTAGGAGGAGGAGGAGGAGGAGGAGGAGGAGGAGGAGGAGCGAATTCAGCATTCGGTGGACTGAAGCCTTCGTTTGCCACCCCACTATTTTCTTCTTTCGGTACCTCCACGGCCATCGAGGTACTCTCTCTCTCCCTCATGTCCTCTTCGTCCCTTCCGTTTCCCTCTTTGCCCTCGTCCTCCCTGTCTTGCTCCTTCCTATCATCTTTCCTTCTCCTCCTTTTTGTCCATTTTGTTGTTTCCTCTCTTACGCTTTCCCTCGATGTCCTCCTTTGCTCCTCCCTTTTCCTTCTCCTTCTCCTTCTCCTTTTTTGTCCTTTCCGCACTTCTCCTCCCTTACGCTATCCCTCGATGTCCTCCTCTCTTCCTCTTCACTATTTTCGATCTGTTTCTTTCGGTACCTCTATGGCCATCGAGGTACTCATCTCCCTCCCTCATCTCCACCTCGATGGCGGTAGAGGTACCGAGAGAAGAAAATTGTGGGCTTGCAATGAGTGGTCTATTTGTTTCTCCTTCCTTTTGTCTACGCTCTCTACTCTGTGTATGCCCCTTTATTTTTTCGATCACTAGTTCTGTTTCCTTTCCTCCTCCTCCTCTTCTCCCTCCCCCGCGCTTTCCTGTCCTGTATCTGTGCTTTTTTTTTTTCTTTTCTTTTCTTTTCTTTTCTTTTCTTCCTTTTTTTTTTTTTTTTTGTGTCCTGTCCTGTATCTGTGCTAACTTCTCTCTAACTGGTTAATAAAAAGAGGCCGTAGAGCAACAAGCCGAAATATTCGCACCCCTTTATTTTTTCGATCACTTTCCTGTCCTGTCCTGTATCTGTGCTATGGAGTAGTTACATTCAGAAGGGGAACATAATTGTTATCTTGTTCTGGCAAACCTGGGTTAGGGTGGGGACAGGGTACCTACATTCAGAAGTAGCAGTAGTCTTGGAACTAGCAAACAGAAGTAGGGACGAAAATAAAGTAGATTGGGACGGGGTTGAAAGGGAGAACCTACCTGTCACTCGGTAGTTCGCGAGGGCTTTCCACCAGGTGGTCAGAAGAGTCTAGACATAGAGCGCAGTGAGTCCACAGCAGAGAGCATGTGAGTGGTCGTCCAGTTTGATCACCTGCAGTTGTCTGCCAGGTTGGTCTGGCTTAAATGTGTCCTCGTTTACCGGGTTGAATTGTGAGGTCCCCGGCCTCGAACTCTTGATTACGAAATGAATTTGTGAATTGCAAAAAAAAAAAAAAAAAAAAAAAAGTTCGCGCAGGCAAGCAGCATCAAATCATCATTCATCACCGTCGCCAAAAATAGAATCATCATCATCATCGTCATCATCATTGTCATTATCATCATCGTCATCGTCATCATTATTTATCATTATCCTCCTCGTCCTCATCCTCATCATCAGCCACAGCAACGGCATCATCAAATCGTCATGATCTGTCCATCGCCACTATAATCGTCATCGTCATCGTCATCATCATCATCATGGCCATCATCATTGTCATTATCATTGTCATTATCATCATCATCATCAGCAGCAGCAGCAGCAGCGTTATCGTCGTCATTATCATTGTGGTCATCATCTTTGTCATTATCATTCTCATCATTGTCATCATCAGCAATGTTAACGGCATTTCCATCTTCATTACCATTCCTGTGCAATCATCTGGAGCATCATCATTATCATCATCGTCATCATTATTATCGTCATCGCCATCATTGGCATCATCGTCGTCATCATCAGGAACAGTAACGGCATCATCGTCCTCATCACCATTCCTTTGCAGTCATCACTAGCAAGAGCGTCATTGTCATGAGTGCATTAGCATTGTTTACTGCCTTTACATCGTCATCATTAGCATCATCATTACCTTGTTGTTGATCTAATTAGGGTTTACATGATTAGTTTGTCTTTTTAATCATCTTCCGCTTCTGTGCTCCATGGCCCTCTAGTCTTTTCTTCGGTCTTCCTTTAGCTTTGCTCATCGTCTGCACGCAGTCAGGCTCGTCTTCATGATTGTCTTCACCACGTTTACGACCCCGATTATTATCCCTGTCATCATCATCATCATCATCATTTTTGAAATTCGATCAAGATTCGACGGTCGTCATTATTACCATCGTCATCATCATCATCATCATCATCATCATCATCATCATCATTTTTGAGATTCGATCAAGATTCGACGGTCGTCATTATTACCATCGTTATCATCATTATCATCACCATCATGATTGCAATGATTGGCATCTTGGAAAGCAGCGGAGCATGGTGTCATCATTGTCGCCGTCATTATCTTTTGTCGTCGAGACAGGTTCTCTGTTCCTGTTCGTCGATTATACAAGATTAGACTCTTCGACCTGTGGTCCACGTGTCCAATCCTCATCGACCCATCGTAATCTATCAATCAGTCCCAACCAATCCATCGCTTATTCCAAGCTCGAGTATGGATCGAAGTCATCCGAGTCTTATTGCGAAGCGGCTGATCATTATTATCAACATCCGAGTCTTATCAACATCGTCATGATCCTCATCATCTTAATCAACTTACGCATCTTAAGCATCTCAATGCACCGTAACCATCATAATCATGTCCATGTCACCACCACCATCGTCACAATCATCATCATCATAATCACCACCACCATCATCATCATCATCATCATCATCATCATCATCATCATCATCGTCGTCATGATGATGATGATCATCAGATCACCGTCTTTATCACCATTGTCGCTTATATTTTCAGCGGCAAGAATTCGTCGTTATCATTATCATCATCATCGTTATCATCAATGTTATCATCATCATTATCATCATCATTGTCACCGTCATGGTCCGGAGACCCTGTGGACTTCCTATCTTCTTGTTTTTTAAGCACAAGAGCAGCCCGATTGCCAGCTCAGCGATTACGTGGCATCATCTGCTCTGTCGATCAAGAACTGGCCCGTCTCCGATCCATCGTTCGATCAGTGCCGACCCCATCAATCTATCAGTGCCGACTCGTCAATCTATCAGTCCCGACTCGTTAGTCAGACCTATTACGGCAATCAATCTTGGCTTTGGGGGCTGAATTTAGCACATACTTTATTATCTTGTTGCCAAGCAGCTGATTAGCATCATTTGCCTGTCGTCGTCATCATCATCATCATCATCATCATCATAATTTTGACCACTGTCATTATCATCATCTTCCTTGTCTACCCTTGTTTCTCGTCTCCCAGTCCCGACCATTGCCTTAGTCTCTTCTCGAGATTCTCATCATTTCAAATCTACCCTGTATGAATAATCCACATCCTATCCAATCAATACCTAGGAAGCTAGAAAATTCCAGCTGTTGACTGGAGAGAGGTTATTCCTACT